TGCTCAGACAGCAAACTCTATACCATTCCAGACTGTCCAAACTCTTCTCCAAATCTCTCCCTAGGTTAGGGGATTGCTATGGGGCCGGCAATTCTTCCTCATCGGTAGGATTTCTCCCACGGCGTGTGAAATTAACAGAATTGGCAGGGTTGGAAGGGAACCCTGGAGGTCCTCCAGTCCAACCCCCTGCTCAAGCAAGAGACCCTATAGCTGTCCAGAAGAGCCGGTGATGGTCTGTGGGCAGAGATGTCCAACTTTTGGGCAACTTTAGGATTTGTGGACTTCAATTCCCAGAATTCCCCAGCCAGCCGAGTTGAAGCCCACAAGTCTTCAAGTTGCCCCAAAGTTGGACACCCCCTGCTTCATACTTGTCAAAACCTCCCGGATTTCAGCGCTCCTTTGTTGGAAGAAATCATTAGAACCGGCGGTTAAATTATTTGAATCCCACCGCTGGATTCACAGGAGAAAAACTTTTCTTTAAAACGAAACGGATGGGTTTTTCTTTTTCCTTTTCACTCTCTGTTTTTGCAACGTCAGCTTTGGCAAAGGGGAAGAAGAACGGGTGCAAAACGGAGATCGCTTGGGCAGACCCGAGGTCTTTGCTTCCGGTGGTGAAACAGCCGGGCTTTGTGGTCCTCGAGTTATGACCATGACTGAGCCCTTACGCGGGACAGTTTAGCGTTCGGCAACTTTTTTTTTTTTTTACAACTTTTCTTGCCAGGGTTTTCTTAAGTGGATCCCTGGCAGTAACACCGTTGCTAAGCGGCTTCCCCATTGGCGTTGCTGGCCAGAAGGTCACAAAAGGGAATCGGCGACCGTCGCAAGGATGGGTCAGTTGCCAAGGGCTCTAATTTTGAGCGCAGGGCATGTTGCAGGCGTCGTAAGTGTGGAAAACGATCATAAGATGTTCTTTTTTCCCCCCCGGTGCTCGTTGCAACCTCAAACGGCCATGAAACGAACGGTTATAAGTCAAGGACGATCTGTGGTTGTAAATCAAGGATGATCTCCCTGGATAAAATCGGTTGAGTGCTCCAAAATCTCCTTCTTCTAGCTTGCCAGGGGTGGACTCACAGAGGACTAGCAGCATGAGCAGGGACTCAGTGGCCTAACAATACCTTTTAAAATGGCCAAAGAGGAATTGAACTGAGTGACAGAATAAGAGTGGGAAGGGAGGGACCTTAGAGGTCTTCTAGTCCAACCCCCACCCCCTTTTCAAGCAGGAAACCGTAGAACATTCCGGATTTTCACGTGCAGAATTTAACTTGGCACAGCTGGCACCTTCTATTTGCAACTTCTGCCGCTCCTATCTGTAGGCTTCCTTCTTAGCAGCCCTGGAGAGCCAGAATTAACTAATTGCTTTTATTCCTGGATCAGGGCCTAAAAACACAGGAGCAGAGCTGGCGAGGGCAAGAGATAAGCTGGCAACCAGGTTTAGCGTCGCCAACCTTTGCAAGCCATGGGCCAATTACGTAATTCCTCTGGCTTGTCTGAAGGATCATTTGGGGGTCCGACTTGAGCCGGGGCTGCGCAAGAATACATTTTTAAAAATGCGATCCAGACAGCTGTGAGGAACAAAAAAAAAAAGAGAGAGAGATATTTATTCCTAAAAGCAGAATGCCTTCAGGGGTGCCTGCAGAAAAATGGGGTACAGAAGCAGAGCTTTAACGGAGGGGAGCTTGTCCTGGTGTGGAAGAAATGTTTACAAGCTGATTCTTTAAGGACGACGCTTGAAAGGCGTGTATGTTTTGTGTCTCTGCATAAGTCTGTCTGTGGTGTTTATTCTTTGTGAAGGTGCAATTCCAACCGGGGGAACCAGATTTCGCGAACTTTATTTGTGTTTTGCAGACCTTATCCTTTGATAGGTGGATCAGGTCTGGGTAAACGTCTTTGGAAGTTTGAGGACGTTTGCGCAGTTGAGTTGATTAACTGAGTTTCAGCTCGACTGGCGATTGCCCACTGCAGACACGGATTCACGGTCACGTTTGAAGGGAAGAAGGAAACGGTGCAAAGGATAAAATATATCGGGATATCTAATTTTTCACGAGCTGCAAAAATCAGCATCCAGGCTTCTTCGGAACTGAGCGGGGAGGGAAGATGACAGACAGGGTAGGCCGGGGGCGAGGTGGAAACACCACCCAAATTTCAGCCAACTCCATCTTGGTTCAAGGTGTAATTACCTGGCTGGGTGTGGTTGGCGTGCCGCCTAAACAAACCCACGGGCCTTTCAGGAGTGGGTGGCACCTCGGGTAATTTATGTGGTCTAAGAAGGTAAGGTGGATTTTTACTTTATTTTTTTTTACCGTCCCGGCACGTGCCAACCAGCCCGGGAATTGGAGGAAAAAAAAGTTGTGTAGGCCACAAGAACAGTTTTTCCTTAGGTATGTTGGGCTGGTGGGGTGGGCTCAATTCTCCCACCCACCCCGCCAAAGAGAGTTTGTTTGACCTGGCTGGGTTTTTTGTGGGGCTGCAGAGAGAAGATGGGCCAGGTGTATGTGTGTGTGTGTGTGTGTGTTCCACTCTATTTCTTTTCTTTTTAAAGTTTTATTTGTTTTATTAATACAATATATAATATTACTAGCTGGATACCCGTGTGCTTCACTACGGAACTATGTGGTCAGGCTTAGTTTTTGGGGAGGAAAATAAGGGGGGAAAATTCTGCCTCTGCCTACCAGCATCCATCGGTATTCATCTGGCTAGCATCCTGTTGGTGGGGGAGAGAGTTGAGGGCTGTTTGGAAACTGAAGCAGTATTTGCTGTGTGAGCAAGGAGACAGCAAGGAGCCTGGGCATGGCTTAGCTCAACTGTTCTGTACTAAAGCTGCTTGGTGCTGTGAAACTGAAACTGAAACTCCTCTGCTTGTGTTTTGCATTTGGAAGAGATTTCTTTCCAGGTGGGGAGGGGGAGTAGAACTTCTTAGCATCAGAGCGTGTTAATAATAATATAACGAAATATTAATGGTCTGATGGTCATTTCGAAAAATCCTTCCTTAGTGAGCCCCTAGAAGCCAAGAGGAACATACATGCTAAATTTCAAGTTTTTAGGCTTTACGGTTCTGGAGATTTTGTAATGATGTGTGAGTGGGATTTCGCTTTTATATATATAGATTCCATTTCAATCAAACAGGGTATTATTGTCTGAGTACAATTATTTTTAGGCAGTCCCCATCAAGGTGTTTACAATAACATGCATCACGATAACATTCATACTGCAGTAACCATAATATTTTGTTTTCTCCGTTTTAACAAATGTCCATTTTAGCACGTATCCTTTTTATGTCCCACCTCAAAAAAGTATGTGTAGGCAACAAGAACGTTTTTCCTTAGCTATGTTGGATTGTGCAGGGGCTCAATTTTCAGCCCCCCCCCAAAGAGGGTTTGTTTGACCCGGTTGGTTTTTTTATGGGGCTGCAGAAAGAGACCAGATGGACCAGGTGTATGAGTGAGTGAGTGAGTGTGTGTGTGTGTGTGTGTGTGTGTGTGTGTTCCAGGTCACCCTTGATTTGCCACCCTTCGTTTAGCGGCCGTTGGCCGTTACAGCTACACGGGACAAATGTGACTTAGGACCGTGATTCACACTTATGACTGTTGCAGCATGCCACAGTCAGGTGATCAAAAGTCATGCAAGAGGCGAACGCAAAGACCGTAGGCCCAGTGTGTGTGTGTGTGTGTGTGTGTCTGTCTGTCTGTCTGTGTTTTTTGTGGGGAGGTGGGGAAAGTTGAGACAGATGCATCTGCTAGCATGACATAGCAAAGCATTTGGGTTGCTGATAAGCTGAGGCTCCAAAAACGGATGTCCTGTGCCCCTGTTCTAGAGGGATAAGGCCCCCCGAGCCGGTCGCTAAACCCACTTCCCTTTGTGGTTTCGGGTTCTTCACCCCCATAAGTTCCGTCGGGCTGTTTTCTGAGCTCCCCAACCTAGAGGAACAGCATTTCCAGTTCTGAAGGCCCAACCGTGGCAAGATGGTGCCCACCTGTGCTCATTCTGGAGTGGGGAGTGACAAATTACATTTCCTTTTAGAGATTAGATAGCCATTTGTCTGAAATGGTACAGGGTTTCCTGCCTAAGCAGGGGGAAAGGGGGGGTTGGACTAGAAGACCTCCAAGGTCCCTTCCAACTCTGTTATTATTCTAATTCTTAAATACTCAGTGCTGATTTTGGTAGGCCGGATTCTGCTTCCCTCAAATCTCCAAGGTGGAGGGGCTTCGCTCAACCCCTGTAGATCTGGGGAATTGCCTTTGTAGATCCGATACTATAACAGAAGAGTAACAGAGGGACAGGAGTTGGAAGGGGTCTTAGAGATCTTCTAGTCCAACCCTCCAACGGCTGGAATCCGAGAGAGAAATAGGCCTACAGTGGTTCATACCTGCCACAGCACCTGCGGTTCGTACCTGTGTCCCTAGTGAGTTTATATTGAAGTAAGGGTAGGGGGTATACCCCAAAAGGAAGAGCTTTTAAGAAATGTCACTTAAAGCAGTGTTTCTCAACCTTGGCACCTTGAAGATGTGTGGACTTCGACTCCCAGAATTCCCCAGGCAGCATGCTTTAAGATGCATGGACTTCAATTCCCAGAATTCCCCAGAATAAATGCTTTAGGTTGGGTGGACTGCAACTCCCAGAATTCCCAAGCCAGCTTGCTTTAAGGTTAAATGCCAGATCTTTCTTTCAGAAGTCCTTTTTTAAGGACCTGATCAACATCTTCCCATTTCGCAGCGAGGAAAACTGAGGTCAGCAGAGAACCGGCTTCGTTCGCCCTCTAAGTTTCGGGACGCCAGTCAGCAGGGCGAACCTGTTCCTCCTTGTTTTATTTCTGGCCTTTGTCATGTTGGAAAGTCCCCAAATAGTTTGGGAATTTCCTCCAGCTGATAAGGCTCCCAACACCCCTTATCTGGCTTTGTGCAGCTGTAAAACATCAGCCTGTAAAATTCTTTTTTTTTTTTTTTATTTTCTGAAGGAATTGTGGTCACTCTACCCACCCCATCCCCATCCCGCCCTGGCCGTGTCATCTGGAAACAATGAAAAAAGGATGACCACATCCATTGAAGAGGGGAAGTGGGCTATTTTCTGGGGGCCATTTTCCCTGCCTAACCACTGAGAGGGAAGTGGTCCATAGTGATGAGGAGAGGTGATGAGGAGAAGGAGAGGGGAAGCCAATTTTCCTGCTTCTCATCCCCCACCCCACCCCACCCCAAGGACTTCTGTGCTTTAGGGCAGGGGTCTCCAACCTTGGCAACTTTAAGACTTGCTGGCTGAGGGATTCTGGGAGTTGAAGGCCACAAGCTTCACTAGCTGAGGAACTCTGGGAGTTGAAGTCCATAAACTTTGTTGGCTGAGGGATTCTGGGAGTTGAAGTCCATAAGCTTCACTGGCTGAGCGATTCTGGGAGTTGAAGGCCACAAGTCTTAAAGTCGCCAAGGTTGGAGACCCTGCTTTAAAAGTTGCCAAGTTTGTTGGGGGGGGGGGTGTCCCTAAAGCAGGGTCTCCAATCTTGGGCAACTTTAAGACTTGTGGGCTTCAACTCCCAGAATTCCTTGGTCAGTGGTGCCGGCTGAGGAATTCTGGGAGTTGAAGTCCTCACGTCTTCAATGTCCACCTTCCCCCCAGTTTTAAGGGACACAGGACAGACAGAAGCCATTTGCAACTGAGGCCACTGAGGCTGGGCGAGGGGAAAATAATAATAATAATAATTTGGCAGCTTCACAGATGACCCCAGGACTGAGTCAGACACCCAGCATCTGGAAGGGAAAAGGCAGTGTGTGATTTCATGGGAGCTCAGAGGATGCTGTCTTGAAATATATATATATTTTCCACCGCTTCTTCCTGGCCTGGTTGCTTAAGTTCACAAATTTACATTAGCTGCTTTCTGCAGATCGAGGGGTAGAAGAGCAGACAAAGTCAATCTCCTTAGGTCACTTGACAACCTGGGGAATGTTTGTTTCTTTCTTTCTTTCTTTCTTTCTTTCTTTCTTTCTTTCTTTCTTTCTTTCTTTCTTTCTTTCCTTCCTTCCTTCCTTCCTTCCTTCCTTCCTTTCTTCTTTTTCTTTATCTTCCTTCTTTCTATCTTCTTTCTCCTCTTTCCCTTTCTTTCTTTCTTTCTTTCTTTCTTTCTTTCTTCTTTCTTTCTTTCTTTCTTTTCTTCTTTTTCTTTATCTTCCTTCTTTCTATCTTCTTTCTCCTTTTCCTTCCTTCCTTCTTTCTTTTTTACTTTCTTCTTTTTCTTTATATTCTTTCTTTCTATCCTTTCTTTTCTCTTTCTTCTTTATATTTTTTCTTTATCTTCTTATTTCTCTTTCTTTTTCTTCTCTCTCTCTCTTCTTCTTGCCCCCTTCTCATTCATTAGAACCACAAGATTTTTGTTTGTTTTTTTCCTCCTCTGAAGCTTCTCTTCCTTTCCTCCTTCCAATTTCCTCGCCCTGGATTCTATCTTTGTTTTCTCCAAATTGCTGCGTCCTGTTTGTTTGCAACGGAAGACGGTGCATATTTTTTTGAGAAACACAACAATCCTGAATGCTGTGGTTGGAGACTTGGAGAGAAACTTGAAAAAAACAAAACAAAACAAAAACACAACCCGTGGTCTCTGTCTCGTTGACCAAAAGTCAAAGCTCCTTTGATCTCCCAAGGAAGAGAAACTTTAAAAATAGACTCTTCCTGTAGCTGAAATAGATGCTGTGACGAAGCCATACGGGCAAAAAAAGTAAAATAAAATGAGGTTAAGTTCAGTTGGTGAATGTCTTATGGAAATCCTCCAGTTTGACTGGATGGATGGATGGATGATGGATGGATGGATGGATGGATGGATGGATGATGGATGGATGGGATGGATAAAGAGATGGATGGGAGATGGGTGGATAGGTGGATGGATGGATGGATGAATGATGAATGGATGAATGGATGGATGGATGGATGATGAATAAATTGATGGATGATGGATGGATAGATGGATGGATGGGTAGATGGATGGACGGATGATGGATGGATGATGGATGGATGGATAAATGGATGGATGGATGGATGGATGGATGGATAAATTGATGGATGGATAGATGGATGGATGGATGGATGGATGGATGATGGATGGATGAATCAGCCTTCTGAAAACAGCTGAGCTCCAGAGGTCATACAACCGGGCCTGATCCATAGAGCTGAGCTCATATCTTGAATATAAAACCTGTTGATTGGTTTGCTGATTCTGCTGAGCGGGGTTACAAGGTTAGGAGGTTAGGAATCTTCCTGATTATAAGTAGTTTTCTTATTACAACGGTTCATTTAGTGATCGTTTCAAGTTACGACGACACTGAAAAAAGTGACATATGACCATTCTTCACACGTAATACATGTTTCTGCATTCATGCACGCAAAATTCAGGGCAACCGACTCTTATTTATGACGGTCGCAGCTTCTTGGAGAGTACGCCATCCCCCTTTGCAGCCTTCTGACAAGCATGAATGTAATTCACAGCCGTGGAAATAGGTTTTGCCCGGACTAAGGTAGCGTTTTATGCTTTCTAAGGAAGCCTAGGTCAGAACAGGGGCCAGCGTAGAAAGACCTTCCGCTAATCTCCTGCTGTCCTTCCTTCCTGTCTCCTTTCTCTAGACAGCGACGGCAATCAGTACAAGAAGGATGAGAAAAACGTCTACTTTGCGTTCGAAATTGAACCCATCCGGAAAGCCGTTACTGACCCCAACTTGCTCTACCGGGCAGAGCTGAGGATGCAAGCCTCGGGACGTGGGCAAGAGCAGCGACTGGAGCTTTTCCAGGTAGGGTGGGTTAGACTGTAGTCTGGATTCCCAGAAGGGAGGGGCTGCATTC